AGACCTGGGTTCGATTCCCGGCAGGGTCAAACCTTGGGCAAGTTTCCTTACTCCACACGCCTAATAATAATCCCTCAAAAAAAATTGGTCATTTCAATCCACGACTGTTTGTGGGACACCGCTGTACGCAATTGGCTGCCTCATTTTGCCCACAAATATACAGTCAATTCATTTTACAGTTTATTCTGTGAAGCGCTTTGAGACGTCTAGAAGACGTGAAAAAGTGCTATATCAAATGCAAGGATTATTATTATTATGGTTGTTTGTGGCTCATCACCCAACTCCACAGGCTTCCCATCACACAGAGAATATAGTTCAAGATCCTGGTCTTCACCTTCAAAGCTCTCCATGGTCTTGCTCCCCCCCATCTCTGCGACCTCCTAACCCCCTACCAACCTGCCCACTCCCTCCGTTCAACTGGCTTCAGCCTGCTTCACCTCCTCCGCTTTACCTGCCCACTACTGGCTAGCGGGCCTTCAGCCACTCTGCCTCCACCCTCTGGAACTCCATCCAGCAGACCTCCACCTCGCACCCTCCCTTGCCTCTTTCAAGACCCACCTCACGACCCTCCTCTTCGACTGTTCCTTTGATCATTTTCCTCCCGCTGCCCTCCACCCTCACTAATCCCAACTCCCAAACACTGATTGTCCAGCGCCTTGGACCGATTGTCCTCCCAACGTGAAAGGCGCTATACAAATGTAATTTTGTTATTGTTGTTGTTGCTGTGTGCAAATTGGCTGCCGGTATCAAATGTAAGGATTATTATAATAATAATACCCGGGTCCAACATCACTGTTCCAGAATGATTTGTATTCCTTTGGCAATTTGGTTATATCAGCCCATTTGATATAGCCTGATGAAAAAAGGCACAGATATCCTCAATACAGATAGACCACTTTTTGAATCAGGAGAGAAATAGCCATAAGAGAGTCGCCAGATCAGTAGGAATGCTCTCTGAAATATACCAGCGTGGAGCAACTAGAATATCCCAAGTTCAAATAACATTTCTTTGCCACTTGTGACAGCTCTCATTGCGTGGGAAATTGGTACAACTGCCCAGACTCCAGGCAGTCAATTGATGAGAGAGAGACTTTTTAAAAATAATACTATTAAGCTTATGTTAATTAATAATAAAAATAATGATAATCCTTGAATTTGTTAGAGCTTCACAGAATAGAATGTAAAGTTAATTTAATTAATAAATGAATTAAGCGAACATTTCGCTCCTCCAACCCATAAAACTCTGCAACTTGATGTTCATTGTAATAATTAAAATGCACTCTTAGGCATAGGTTGGCTTTGTCACACAGCCAGCTTTAATATCTGCACAGTAAGTGGAGTCCTGTAGCTCAGTGGTTAGAGCACTCGCTTTGCAAGTGAGAGACCTGAGTTCAATTCCAGGCAGAGGGCGAAACCTTGGGCAAGTTTCCTTACTCCACACAGAGCCTAATAATAATCCCTCCAAAACAAAACAATAATAAATTGGTCATTTTCGATCTACGACTGTTTGTGGGACATTGCTGTGCGCAATTGGCTGCCGCGTTCACCCACAAATATACAGTCGATTCACTTTACAGTGTGTTCTGTGAAGCGCTTTGGGACATCCTCCCGATGTGAACAGCGCTATATCAAATGCAAGGATTATTATTATTATTATTATTATTATTATTATAGTAAGGTGATTTCTTGGCAGGTGCTCTGATGGGAGGCTGGTACAGTGGATATTTATTCTGGAGAGATAATAATAAATATAATAATCCTTGCATTTGATACAGAGCTTTTCACATCTTCTAGATGTTTCAAAACGCTTCCTAGAATATACTGTAAAGTGAATTGACTGTATATTTGTGGGCGAAACGCGGCAGCCAATTGCGCACAGCAGCGTCCCACAAACAGTTGTGGAGTGAAGTGACCAATTTATTATTGTTTTTGATCAGATGATATCAGATGGGATGAAGTGCCTTCTTCATCTGAACTAATCTTATGATAATCAACATCAAAGATCTACACGTAGAGGAAGGCCATTGTCTAGATTTTGTTTGCTGACATTTTCGATGAAAGAGGCCTTTGGAATATTCTTTTTGCACAAGAGGCACTTTGCAGTCATCTTTGCTTCTGCGCCATGCTTTTACCAGTTGTTATCAGTTCTGATCTGCATTCTCTTGGTATTATTTCTCTTTAACACACACTCCACTCTACAAGGGAAAAAAAATGAACTGATTGCAAAGGTTCAGAATATCTCTGCCTCAGTCTTCTGATGATCAACAGAAAAGTTGCACTGAAGTATTGTGTTTATATTCTCTCTGAGAAAGAAAATTGTTCACTGGGTGGTTGTAAACGGTCCTTTGACAGGTTCATAGCTACTGAAGAATAGTAAATATCTCGGCGTTGAAACAAAACACCCCAAGAATAATACAGGTCTTGGTACAATCTCTTCTGTGCAGAATGTTTCCAGATTTTTATGTAAGATTATGCATAGCTTACATATACAAGAGAGTGGGGGAAAAANTCACCAGTAGCAGCTCATCAAGTTTGATCCTTGGGAGAATCACGCTACTCTCTCCTCCGTTACATAATACCCATTACCCACCTGCTCATCATTCCTTGTGCTGGCTACTTCTGAGGGAGGAGAATAAACAGAGAAAAAATAAATGTGCAAGGAATTTTTGGTGATGAAATGATTTATCTGAGAATATTCCTCCCATTCCCGAAGGCAGTCAAGCGAGCTCCAAGAGAGGCCGAACACCCCAGCCCCCCACCAACTCAAGAGGATTGCTCAGGGGATCCTTGTACACTCTGGGATGTTACCCCACGTGAAGGGCACTATGTAAAAGCAAGTTGTTGTACATTACTTCACCACGACTGATGGGTTTTTTACTGAAGTGAGCATGAGTCTGGTTTGACTTCAATACTCCTTTTTCTCCATTTTAGTTGCTTGGTGAACAGTTCAACCAAAGTGAAAATGTGACCTTAAATTAGGAGCTCTCTTATCTACTGGTCCTTATGTATTCATAATCCATAATTTGATTTGCTGAGTACGAACAATCCAACGGATGAATGGTTTTTGGGTATTCTTCTGCCTAGTTTTGTCGGGAAAGAAAAGTTTGTTACATTATCTCCAGGCAGCTTTTATATTCTTAAGGTTTTCACATGTGGTTTGTCAGGTGCAATACTCAGGACATACCGCTAATAGGATTAGAAATGAGTTAGTCTATTGTTTGCCTTGTAAAATTAACTAGAGATTTTACTGTGCCAGATCTGTGAGTGCATGTACCTTTCGGTTCATTGAAATTGTATACTAATTGGGCTGATGGTTCTACCTATGTTTATACATTCACGTTGATTGTGAATCTCATAACGGAATTTATCTTGTATATTATTTTTCGAGGTGTTTAATAACTTTGCGATTAAAATAAATTAGGTCAGAACCACTAAGGCAAAATCTCACAATTCACAGTTCAGTGCATGTCTTGGCATGACGTCCTTATGTGAAAAGCATTGTATAAATATATTTTTAATTGTATTTTACTATAATTCACATGCGCAAAGAATTGAGATTGCACTCCAAATGGTTGAAATGTAGTTGTTTGATAATAAATAATCCTTGTATTTAATATAATACCTGTACTATTCAAATACCTTAAAGCATTTCACAGGCAAGTTCTGTAAAGTGTAGTGTATTTGTAGGCAAACACGGCAGCCAATTTGTGAACAATGATCTACCCAGACAATTTATCTGGTGAATTTTTAGTCAGGAAACCAGGAGAAACTTATTTTAATGTCTCCCTCTCTAACAATCTTTAAGACCCGCCTTAAGACCTACCTCTTCAGTTACACAGATAGCCATCTTTCCTTAACACTCTCCCTTGTTGGGGGCTGACCCCATCTGCAGATCATCCAGAACTCTGCAGCCCGTGTCCTCTCCCACACCAGGCTTCGTGACCCTATCACCCCCATCCTCGCCCGACTCCACTGGGTTTCCATCACACAGAGGATACAGTTCAAGATCTTGGTCCTCACCTTCAAAGCCCTCCATGGCCTTCCTCCCTCCTACCTCTCCGACCTCCTAACCCCCTAGCACCCTGTTCGCTCCCTGTGCTCAGCGGGCACTGGCCTGCTTTACTTCCCCCGCCTTACTCAACCCACTATCGGTGGACAGGCCTTCCGCCACTCTGCCCCAACCCTCTGGAACTCCATCCTGCAGTCCCTCGTTCTTGCCCCCTCCCTCGCCACCTTCAAGACCCACCTCAAGACCCTCTTCTTCGACCGTGCTTTTGATCTCCCTGCTACCCCCCCGCCCTCCCCCCTCCTCCCAACCCCCAGCTCGGGTCCACAACTCTGTCTGTCCAGCGCCTGTGGACATCCTCCCGATGTGAAAGGCGCTTTACACATGTAAATGTATTGTTGTACAGCACACAAGACGTTGCTCCATGTGAAGGGTGCTAAATAAACATATGATTTTGTACTGGAGCATAGTTTTGTTTGTTTAAAATGACTTATGGAACAAAGCTAACTGATTTAAATTCATTATCTTTAATTTATCAGGCTACATAGCAAGTTAATTTATTGTACTATTGTTGAGTACATATTTTCACAAATCACATCACATATCCAGACCAAAATTAACTCTTAAGTTGCACCACCTCCATACAAAAAACTATGTTACTGGGCGATGAGAATTAGATATTTACTGCATTCTCCAAATATTACATTGTAATTTGTTAATAAACTGGAGCTCTTATGGTCTGTTAGTGAGGATTGACTAACTGGTTGCACTGCAAAATCTTTGTGCGAACAATTTGAAATGAAATTTAAATTCTAAAGCTCTTGTTGGAGTGAAAATTAAATAAATATTCATGGTGTATTTCATAAAGTGATCGAGTAGCACTTTGAGGATGACAGGATAAATGATTAGCCTGTCATCAAAATGAAGCTTTTTAAATGAAGAGAAAAAATGTTGAACTACTTGCTAATCGTATGTTTGTATCTGTTTTTTTCAGGTATGAGAATTCTAGTGACTTTACTACTTGATACTCTGCCTATGTTAGGCAATGTCCTTCTCCTTTGTTTTTTTGTCTTCTTTATATTTGGGATTGTCGGAGTCCAGCTGTGGGCCGGTCTACTAAGGAACAGGTGTTTTTTNGAAGGCAACTTTGCAATGTAAGTGTATATTCATCCCTCCCCTCTTTTCCAAATGTTGCAACAAATTGCTTACGAGGTATTCTGTGATCTAGGTTTAAGAAAGATCAGAAACTAAGACGAGCTCTGAATGAAAGCAGACTGACCAAGTGTAATAGCTCCTACGATGTACTTTTTGAATTGCATCGATCTAAAATGTGCTGCTTGACCTTCTGATTGAAATAGTCTGTTGATACTTGCTTCACTAAAAAACAAAGGAAGCAACGTTCATTCTGCTTCTGTTGATATCCGTACTGTACAGCAGCTCTATTTACAGTACCAACTATTATGGAGAGGCTGTTATCACCTAATGGAATTTCACACCTTAGAATGGCCTGGCTGAGTATTTGGTCAATCTTTATCCATGAGTACAATTAGAGCCCCTCATCTTCCCACAATTATAATGAAATATCATGTTTTAGAACAGGATCACTTTGGCAGATCTGAATCCCATATCCTCATTTCCCATTCCTTTTTTTGCATTTTTGTAATACATCATTACACAGGGACGTAAACAGCACACAAAGCATCAAGGTATTTTTCATATTGATCTGCTGGAACCACAAATCAGATTTAGGGAATTAAGTCATATAGAGCAGCACTGCCATATCTATGAATTAATAATAATGGCAATTTCAAAACCGTTCACTTTTTGCACAATCTGAGCTTTTTGTTTGATTTGTATTTTTCTCCAGAGAGGATTCATCATTAAGCTTCGTCAAGTGACCACCTGCACATCATACTCGATGAATGCTTGAAAAATGAGTAGTTAGAATGGAAAGTGGAAATTACAGCCGGGCTTGGAAGGTTTTCTCTAGCGTTATCTGAAAAGATCCATTCAGGAAGAAGCAATCAGAATTCACAGTAATAACCAATGAATCATTCACAAAGAATGCCTTGGTATATTTCAACAGGTACTTATGCCGAAAGAACAGCATATAATTGTGGTTCAATAACTCGGGTGTGAGACAGAGTTATACAATTTGTGAGATAAATACAGGATAACTCTTGGATCTGTTTTAACCATCATATGGAAAGAGGATGGCTTGAGTTTAAAAAAAAACTTTGATGGGACCATTGGCTTGACCATTGGCATCTATCTACTATCATATTCTATATATTATATATAATATGATTATATATATTATATATTATATTACAAATTGGCATCGACCTGACATCTATACTAATGTTAAAAATCACCCTTTGGCTGTGTTAGGAAGCTCCAAGACTTTCAAACTTATCTGATGAGGTCCAATAGGGGGAAATCACGCTCCCCTCTGTTAGTAAAGAGAGCTGCACAACAAGTGACGCATTGATTACTCTTCTGGAGTTGCTTCTGCTCTTTCTGCTCAGTCAATTGTGGGCTGACTCGAATAAGATTGTGGGCATTTTCCCTTGAGATTTTATAAGTAATCGCTTTCAATTTCCCATAATTGACTAATACGTATCAACTAGTACCTGGTGGTGGGGGAAACATTTAGAAAGGTTGCTACCCATGATCTGTATATGGGTGTTGTTGGTGCACAATTGGTTGAGGTCAATGGCAACTATTATTGTGAGGCTGTGGTCTACAAAGTAGATCTTAAATGCTGCATTGCCATTCAGAGGGTTTTGATTAAAAGCATTGGAATAGGTTATTTTAACTCTGTATAATTCACTTGCAAGACTGCATTTGGAAAGTCTTGTGCAAGTTTTTGGACTTGGCCTCCAAAATAATACTGAAGCATTAAAGGGGTTTTAAGGAAAAGAGCCCAGTATGATTTTGGGGAGTTACTATGATCTGATCAGAATGAGCTTGCCCTTGCTGGAGACGTATTGCGTTGAGATACAGTCTTGAAAATGTAGAAAAGCACTAGCACTATGGTTTTGATCCAGTTATTGAATTGAACTATAAGACCGGAACACACAAAATACAAAAAATTGATTAGCTATCTTAAAAAAATTGGGATTTTCCTCCCAACATGTAAATACTGCATAGATGCATGTCAATAATCAAACATTAAAATAACTTTTTTTAAGAAATAACAAGAGACAGCTGAATATCTCTCTGAGGTAGAAGGTTCTGGAATGAGAGTAGTGATAAAGATGATTAAATACAATACTTAGTGGAAAACGGTAAGATTTGAGCGCCATGGGACCATGGAAATGCTATCTGTAAATGGTGCAGTAGAACAAATATAGATTTTAGTGGCAGATTGACAGCCTGGCAATTTTACTTGATTGACTTGGCAGGTGAAATCAAATTTCTCCCAAGTTTTATCAGTGAATAGTCTCCTCCATCAGTACATTAAGTAAGCTGGGAAGAGTACATGACTTGTATTTGGCATTTGGAGGAGGTGGTTCAGTGAGCCAAATGGCTTTTTCTTGCTACATGCTTAGTGTGTTTATTTCTTGTAAGTTCTATTTAATTTGACAGGATAATGACTAGTTTAAAACAGTTGCACGATTATCCATTGCATTCGCTATGGATTTTCATCATTGCATATAAAGTTCCTTTATTATTTATCAATTTAGTTTTCTGGAAAAAAAGTTTGGTTCTGAAAAAAATGCTTCAGAGGAATCTTCTTGCCAAAGTGTAATGTTAGCATTGAGTAAAGTAACGCTTCATTTGGTTTCACCTCGTGTAACCACATGCTCTCAGGTCAGAGAGGTCACATACAGAATAAAGCCTAATTTCCACTTGATGCATATATGAGGGGGAAGGGAATAGAGGGGTATGGCAAGGGTGGGGGTTGATGTGGAGAATAGACAGTAGCGTGGACTAGTTGGGCTGAATGGCTTAGCATTCTGTATCATTCTAAATAATTCTATGTAATTCCTCTTCCTCAACAACATACTATAATAATAATAATCCTTGCATTTGATATTATGCTTTTTGAGACGTCTCAAAGCGCTTCACAGAATATACTGTAAAGTGAATTGACTATATTTTGTGGGCGAAACGCGGCAGCCAATTCCACACAGTGGCGTCCCACAAACAGTCGTGGATTGAAGTGACCAATTTACTATAATAATAATAAATTATTAACCCAACCAGAGTATTTAGAACTTTCCCAGGGTCAATTTTCTACTTTCTACACCAGCCATTTTCATGGTCTGAGTGACTGCAACTGTCAGTGTTTTGCCAATTTTCAAACATGCGTCCCAGAACTCCACCTAGGTCTTAGCCAGAAAAACAATTTGGTTTTAATATTTAGGATCGCCAGGTGTCTGACACACTTGGAAATCCGTCATTGTACTTAAAGGTCTCCAAACTGACATAAGGTTGAAAATTTTGATTGTCTGTATTGAGTATGGACCAATTCCCAGAGAAATGCACTTGACTGACCTAATCCTGGAGGGATTTTAAGCACAGGTTGGCAAGAGCCAATGCTTGGGGGCCCCAGGGCATGCATTGGTAAACTGCTGGAGTTTAACCAACTAAAACCACTCAGCTTTCCATTGTAGACCCTGGCAAGCTTCCTGCTGTTGTTTAGCTAGGACCATATTGGACCATTAGAGAATTGGCTTGCAGGGTTAATGGGAGCTGAGTAGAAAATGTCCTCAGTATATGACATTGAGAGACCAAAAGATGTGAAAAGGGAAAACCTTTTTTAAAAAAGTTAAAAGTGACTTCTTAACACATTGTCCTGTTCCTAAAATGCACTACAGGGGCACCTCAATAATTACTGCTTGCTATGAACAACGGTTTTCTTTGACGTTCCACTGATACTCAGGACATGGGGCTGTAACCTGTAACCATAGCAATCTGAGGTGAAGTGAGTACCTAATAGATTGTTGTCCCGTCAGGATGCTTAAAACACTTGAATGTCAGACAAAAATATTCACGCAAGTCTCTCTCTCTCTCTCTTCCCCCTGACTGCGTGCAGTGCAAACCTAATTTATCTTGCATTTGTGAGCAAAACCCTGACAGAGTTCGGTTGCCCAATGGCCAGTTTAATGTACGTACTGCATTCCATGCACGGCACTTCTATGTTGGAACACATTCTGGAAAAGAGCATTATTTCTAAATAGTTTAGGGACTGCTGGATGCACAACTCCATTATTATCTCTGCCTGTGTTATCTTGTTCTTTCAGTGCAGAATATGGATTTTTTCAAAAACAAAGTTAAATTCCTTCACCCTTGGTAAATCTATGAAGAATGATGTGATGGCATTGAATGAAATAATCTATCTAAGATTTGAAATAGTCTCCGAGGTATCACTGACGGAGTGTCATTCTATTTTCACATACTTAGTTGTGAATTTCTATTCTTGATAGCATTTTTTTTAGGAGAGAATGAGTTTACCGGAATACTTCAGAATCCAGTGCTTTGAGATCCAGGTTTCAATTGTGACAGAGAAAACAAGGCAGAGGAGATCTTTCATGTTAACGTTAAAGGGTTCACAAAGTTGATGCTACAATGTGTGCTTTGAAACCCAATCAAATCACATGTACCCTGAACTGACTGGCTCTAGTTCCTTTACATTCACGTAACTGTGAATGGTTTGGTGGAGTTTGTGGTTATCCAACAACACTGCTTTGTGGAGTGGTAGAAAAGATGCAGTTTGTCCATGTAATTCTGGTATGTTGCCAATTATAGATGGGTCATTGGAGACCTAATGAAATGCAAGCCACTTCCCCTGAGCGAGGGAGTCAAATAAGAAATCAGTTAATCCACAGTACCGTGGAGTGACTCGCTCAAGTTTCTTATGTGTGTTATTGACAGAGGTGTGGAACAGGTTACCTCCCCCAGCTTCCCAGTTTACTTAAAGTACCGACAGAGGAGAATATTCACAGATAAGGGTTGCCATATGTCAATAAGGACATGTCTGCAGGTGAGTGAAGGGGAAGGATTTCTGCCCACATCTTTGACTGGTCAATAAACTGAGAACTGCTGCTCACAAGCCAGAATGCTCTTCTTGCCTATGTGTTAGCTCTTGAATGTTTTTTGTTGCCTGATCATATACACACCCTCGATTGACTTTCAACATCTGCTG